GGGGGGAGGGTGATAGAGCAGGCTGTGTTTGGCTGCAAGCTGCAAGCAAAAGGGTGAATCCACCCAAACCACCACAGACAGATTAAAACTTTGAATTTAGTAAGGAACGCAGAAGACCCTTCAAAGTGTCTTAAAAAAATCTCTTTGTCTATTCCAATGTATATGACCTTATAATGCATTGGTTCATGTAGGCGTCACTAATTTCTTTGTGTTGAACTTGTGAGATAGTGCTGTATTGGTGGGTGCAGTGTGGCAGGACAGGTATGAATCTGCTGGTGTAGTTGCCTCTCTTTGAAATTACCTGATGTGATGCACACTTCTCCGCATCTCGTGATGTGGTTGCTGTGCAAACTCCTCTGTTTTGATGAGGGTTATACCTGCCCCAGCAGAAGCATTTTCCACTTCAGTGTGGGACAGTGCAGCTAGAGATAAGTGCACACCTGACAGGGTGCTTCACTTCTTTCATTATAAACTAACTGTGTTTGCTTTTTTAATGTTTGTTTGCTTGTTCATGTATATACAATAAATGTTTTTAAAATTTTGAGTCTGTAAACTATAAGATGCCCTGAACACAGCATAAAATATAGCTGTCACCAAGTTCTGTCTCAGTGAATATGTTTCTGTTCTGGGTTCACCTTAGGAAAAGCTTTCCAGGAGCTTCTTGCCAATTTTGAAAGAATCTTGTTTCTTCCAGATATAATTAAGAAACAAAGACCGTGTTTTCCCCGTTCTCCAAAAAATAAGTATCTACCATGTGTTCTAAATAGCTGTATCCATTAAAAACACAGTTGAGGCAAAGCTAGAAGTAGTCTAGTGAACTGCAAGTTTTGGATAAAACAAACCTTTTTCCGTGTCCTCTGGGGGGTTCTTTTGATTCCTACTCTGAGTGGCTTCTCAGGTGACTTCTTTTTCAGATCAGCTGTCTACCCCATTTCAGGCTTTACCTCATTTCTTTCTAATCACTTGCAAACCACTTTCTCCAGTAGGCCTTTTTCCAAAGTAAATAAAATAAGGCAGAGCCACAGATGAACAATAATATTTGATAATGACTTTCTTCTTATTTCCTGATATATGGTCATACATTGTAGAGTGGAAATAGCAGAGGAATAAGCCATTGGTATACTGGCACATAGAAATAGTTTGCCATTCTTATGCACCTGTATAAAAGGCAAGTGTGATGCTCAATATATATATTACACTTTTCCTCCCTTAGAGTGCTGCACAGGTTCCGGAGCTCTGTGTCCAAGTGAGATCAATTCAGAGTGATATTGGAATGACTGGGGAAAGCAGATAGCTACAAGGGGCTAAGCAGACTAACTAGTTTTAAGACAAAGCATGATAAATGTGTTAATGGAATTAGGTGACAGGGAACAGACCTCAATATAAGAATGGTCTTCAGTTCTTAATTTTTGTGTTCCTGAAATATTTCTGACAGGGTCCTGCTGTAACAGTTTCTCACAGAAAAGCAGGAGATCCAGATCCTGAAAACTAGGGGTTTTGATAGGATTCTCCTCCAACATAAGTGTGGGGTTTGGGTATTTCTTAGAGGGGAGGGTTAGGCAGATTAGTACAGAGTAAGTTGGTCTAATGGAATGTGTCAGCATCTTACTACGGTTCTTGAGCCTCTTTCATGTTCTGCACACAAATACTTCTGGGTAATTTTTACAAGAAAAGATTTTAAAAGATGCTAATTTCTGGCTTAACTAGTAAAATCACTTCATAAAACTCTTCCTATTAGCTTTATGGGAGTAGATTCAAACTAGCAATTTTACAAATATAGTCTGTAGTTATTTCTGTAGACTTTTATGGTTGCATCACCTTTATATTAGTTTCTTCTGTCTTGCTTCCCCCTTTGTCATAGGACTGAGGTTGTTTTCAAAGGAAATTTCCTTATTTCCTCCCTCCACCTCCATTTATTTACAGAAATGGCCATTTCTCTGCGGAAGAGCTTACTTCGGACTACGAAGGCGAGGATACTACAACAGAGAAGGACGTTACTGTATGATAGTGCTCATGGCTATGAGGAAGAATTGATAAAGAAGAAACTTCAGCAGTTTTCTGGTGGATCCATCAACCTTTCCAAAGAAGACAATGGCATTGGAATACTTGCTTTGAACAACCCAAAGCTAATGAATGCCTTTACAGGTAATAATTTGTTGATGGGATTGCTGGTTTATTGTTTTTCTCCGTCAGTTACCCATTTTAGCATTTTGCCTGAACAAAATAAAAAGCTATGTCTTACCGTTCCATAGTTAAAAGAAGGAAAGTTTAAGTGTTATTCAGATATGGAGCAAATGCCCACTCTTCTGCCTAGTAGCTTTGCCGTAAATGTCACAAGAATATAAGAAATTCTCAATGACACAGAGACTGTCTGGCAGAACATACCTGTCTCCTGTATTTTTAAATTTTTTTTCCAGTCAGCACAATTCTGCTACTGTGCTCTTTCTTGTATCTCCTTGCATTTTGTCTCTGCTGCTCTGGAAACATATAGGGTGTTTTTAGGGGCATGGGAAGATACTGTCTTTGTTTTGTAGGTAGTGTAGAAAGGGCGAGTTTACTTCTTTGTTCTTTATCTGAACCCTTCCCTGTAATTTAAGCTTCCCTAATTCGGTCTTTTCCAGTCATCGAAGCTGGCTTCCCTTTCTTTGTCATTTCCCTTATGTCTTAAATACCAATGACTAGTTAATTAAAGATCAGATGAGCTGGGTATTCTCAGCTGTTGCAGCTCAGGAAACTATTTAATATACTTCTACACTGGACAATACTTAGCTATCAAAACCGAGTGCCCTGTTTTATTAATCTTGAGAGGCTTTTAATCTCCACGATAGTTATACTTGCTGTCTCCTTTAAGCGTCTAGAGTATTCCCATTTATGCCATTCTCTTTAGACATAAGTGGCACAGGTTCAGGGTCTGCATCTGTCAGAACTTGAGCTGGCCATAAGCCTTTACCATAAGAATGCCTTTATCTCTTAGTATTTTGAAATGGATTCGTTTGTGTCATCTTGTTAATTTCTTTTTTGCTGTTCTATTTTCCTGCCCAGTTCTCACTGTTCCTTTGCTGTCAGCAAGTATATTTGCAACCCAGTAGCAAAGTGTTGAGCTGTTTAAATGGAGAATGCCAGTCTACTCCTTCCACTAGTGATTGTTAGCTGAAAAGAAGAGAACCCAACTGAACAACAGAATTAGTGGTAATGCACCTAGCTGTCTCTGCAGTTTTTCTTTTGTTTCCCTTTAAAAGCTCATGTATATAGTTATTACCTAACTTGAGAAGGTGTAGCCAAAAGATGTTAGCATGGAGACTGTCCTTCTGAATGCCTCTGTGTCAGCATACATGTTGTTATACAGTCATAGTCGCATTGTTGTTTCCTCTTTTTTCTACACATTGATTTTTATTTTTGACTGAAAATAGAGCTGTGCAAGGTACAGCTTGTGGTCTGCGTGTTCTTAGCTTATTTGTTGTGGAAGTTGAAAGGGGCGTGAGAAGTGAGAGGCAAGAGCAGAAGGAGAAAGAACAGATAAAGCCCAGTCTGCTGTGGAGATCACATGTAATACAAGTCAAATTGCTTAAACTGAACTTTCACAGAAACTTACAACTATGTTCTCTGTTTTCTGAGTGCCTGGCAGAGGGGGCTCAGAACTGATTTGTTTAAGTGCTGAGCAGTCACAGCTGCTATTTAGGTCACTAGTAGTTGTGCTTTCAGTATACAAAGTGCTATATAATGTTAATGTACTGAAATAATATCACACATCTCAAGTTGAACACCTAAAATTAGCAGATATTTTCTCTCTGGCTCAGTTAGTGGTCTGTAAAATAATGTCTTCTCTCCTCATAAGACTGCTGTGAAAATAAATTATTAGTGTATGTGAATTAGATTCTCTAGAAGCAAAGAGGAGCTACAAAAACCCATGGGGAAATTAATAGTTCTGTCTTTGTTGCAGACCCTGATTAGCACAGAGCAAATGAGCCATGGGATCAGGCAGTTCTGTTTTACAGTAGTGTGTAGAGTCCTGTAGAGAGCAGTGCTCCATTTTGCTCAGTAATAGCCCCAACAATTTGCTTTGGAAAATCTTACTATGATAGTTCAAGAGATTACTGATTCTTTCTACTGTGCACCTCTGCCAGAGACTTTTGTTGTTATTGGAGGGAGAGTAGAAGCAAAACCATGCTGGCCCCTTGGCCGCTGTGCTGTATGGTATGGCATATTTATTTATACTGCTCTTCATTTCATCTTAACGTTACTGTCTGTAAGCCGTGGTTGCTGAGGAACTAGCCAGCACTTGATCCTTTTCATTTTATTGAGTATAAAGTAATAACCTTCAGGAGAAGTATGAAAAGGGAAGAGCTGTGCAACCCTTAAATTCCCCCAGCAATGGTTGCCCCCTGGTTGGCTTCATCAGCCAGAGCCTGTAGATAACCCTCCTCTAATAAATTCTGTTGATTCTGTGTCTTAGAGCTTCTGGATAGCGGGAGATGTGAATTTATATATACATGTACGCTTCCTTTAGAAAGCTGCAAAACATCATTAAACTGTTGAGAGAAATCCTATTTGCCAGGCATTTACTTTACACAGCAGCTTTTTATCTCAAAGGAATTATGTTTATTCTAAGCTTGAGCAACTCATGGAACCAAAAGCAGAACAAAATTGTTGGCAAATTGCTAATGGGCAATGTGGAGGTTGTTATGCCTTTTTTTCTCTTCTTAATTGGAAACTGATAGCCACCTGTTTGAAATGGTCTCTTTGGAAACAAATGCTAATAAAGTCAGTGTAAGCTTGGTGGAATCAATTTCAGCAGCCCAACCTCTCTCTGAACTAAAGTTGAACTTAATTTAAAAGAGAAGGAAGCCAGCCTGCAGGAACTAGATAATAATGGTGATAATTTTATTTGCTAGAATTGACTTTAAGGCATTTATTCTCAGATTATAATTAAGATGCAAACAAATTTTTATTCCAACTAGATTTAGTTCTGTGAAGAGCATAAACTTACTGGTATCAAATACTGAAGGACCGAGACTGGCAGAATGAGGATTTGCTTTACTATTGTGTCCTCATCATTATATCAAATGTCATAGACTGTGTCTGTAGGTAAAATAATAGTTCATTGTTGTCAGTAATGGAAGGATCCTCTCCCAGGAGGATGGAACAGGCTCTGTCCAGTGTATCTTGTCCCCCGCTGTTACATGTAACTGGCTCATAGGGTTTCTTTTGATAACTCAATTTTTTCAGTTAACTAGATTTTTGGCTCATAATACTCTGTGGAAGGACTCTTGCAGTGCCTCACTCCTTGATTATGAAAAGCACCACAAACTGGTTGTGCTGCATCTTGGCTCTGGTAAAGCTTGGATGCCAGCCCAAGTACCTTTTTTGTAAGAGAACTTGGGAAATATACAAAAAATGAAATCCATGGATTCGATGCACACCTGTTTAAAGAACAGCATTTGCATAAAAGTCATTGTTGAGTGTACTGTCAGGCTGGGAGAGCATTCCAGGTGAAGACCCACACAAATCTCACTAGGCCTAGTTCTGCTCAGTATTTTCATTCACAGCTTGAATGATGGAATATAAGGTGAGCTGCTGAAATTGTCAGATGACCCCAAATTGGGAGAACTTGCAAGAAGATGATTATTTGGAGCAGAGGAGTGGAATTCAAAGTGGTCTTTATTAACTACTACAAAGAGCTCAAGATCAACAAAGTGAAATTCAATGAAAGCAAATGTAATGTACAACACACAAAAAGCATGACCAAACTATAAATACAGAAGGGAAAGGATAAAACCAATAAAACTGCTGGGATTTGTTAGAGGATCATAGTCTGGACCTAACAGTGGCAAAAAAATCTAATGTAATTCTGCTATATAATACATAATGTCCACTTAATTATTGCCCTCCTCAGCAACATAAGCAAAATGTTCTATTTCAGTGGCTGAGACCAAGCCTAAGGCAGAAGTGCTTGGTTGAGAATTCGCTCTTAACCTGGTGCTGGGAAGCTTACGTCACAAGGAACTACAAGGAAAATGAGCAAGAAGGAAAAAAAAATTCTGCCATGTGAGGGTGGCTGCTAACAGGAAATTTCAGAACAGGATGAGCTCTGTGTATGCAGGCATAGGGTCAAAAACACAACACTCCTGGCAGAAAAGGAGAGAGTCCTTGAGGTTATTAATCTAAAGCACATTTCTAGCTGAGGAAGGTAGGCCTGTCCATCTAAATTCTTGTCAAAGGAGGATAAAGCAGAGAGTATCATCAGCCTGTAGTAGGCTGCTTTCTGAAATTAGTTTCTGTAAATGTTTTCTCTTACAAATATAATTGAATGTGAGTCATAGGCATTCACAGAGGAAGAGCTTTAAGTAAAAGCTCAGCTGGTGTGGAAGATGCTGCAGTCTAGGATGAGCTCTAGAAACAGGAGTTTGTAGAGTTCCATATCATGAAGGGTACTGATGTGAACATATTAAGCTAGAAGTAGAAAGCTACTACTGTATAATCCATACATTTGGAGCCTAGGATATTCTTTGTAAAGGAGCCTTTCTAGAAGGATACCAGGGAGGGAATTGAAGATCGTTTAGAATGATCTTATTTCTTTTTCTTGTCCTTTTAAAAGATAAAAGGTACTTTGCTCCTATTTTCAAATATATCTTTATTTTCTTTTGGATGAACACTTGTAAATGTTTTTGGCCCCCAACGTAGTGTGCTCTTCAGCCTTTTTTTGAATCTTAATTCACATTGACTGGTCTTACCTTGAGCCCAGCTTGCACATGATTCTTTTCTGCACTCACCAGCACTTCAGGCAGGGTGAAATGACAGTAACATCAAAATGACTAGATGGACAGATCTGGGTACATACATATATAAGTTCCTGTGTCCTGAATGTGTGCAAACAAGAGTAAATCAGGTAGGGTTTATGCTTGCCTCCTTGATTTTTTTTTTTTTTTTTTTTTTGTGAGTGTAACACAAATTGCAGAATATGCTTCAGACTTTCAGGAAGTTCATCTTTGAGAAAAAACCGTATGTCAGTGCTTATGTGTGGGATTTAAGGTAATGCTTTCTGTTGTGTTTCTAAGCCATCACTTAATAACTTGGTATTGGTGTTGAAAAATGTTATGTAAAACATAGTGGTGACAATAAATTCCTGTTAAAAATTTTGCTTCTCCCTTTTTGTGACAGGCACTATGATGCTAGAACTCCAGGAGAGGGTAACTGAACTGGAAAACTGGAAAGATGGCAAAGGCCTTATCATCTATGGTGCAGGGAACACCTTTTGCTCAGGATCTGATTTGAATGCTGTCAAAGCAATATGCAACTCCCAGGCAAGTAGTGATACTAATTAAGTTTTTGAAGAAAAATCAGCTTGCTGATATTCTGAGGTCCCTTTCAGGCAGATGTGTTGCATTAGGCTTGTGCTGCAATTTTACATGCAAGTCACAGAATAGAGCTTTTAATAGTTAAAAAAATGCTGGCAGACCCTTTAAGCCATGGCTTAAGTGTTGCTGTAATTGATTCATAATACTGAATTCCTACATTACATATTCTTTTTAGCCTTTTCTTTTAAAAATGTCATTTCAGTTTCTCAGAGCAGTATTTAGTGAATTTACACATCAAATAATCTATGCTTCAGTAGTTTGAACTTTAAAAGCAGATACAAGTAATCATTTCTCATATATTATACAGTCAAAACCAAATTTAAGCAGCATGGCTGCTATTACAGAAGTTTTTCAAGTTTGTCAAAACAGCTTTGACTTGCAAAAAATAGATGGATGGATGCAGTTCTTGTGCTGTAGAGCTTTGACACTGATCTTGTAGTCCAGTCAGGTGAGTCATGTGTAACTATGTGTCTAAAGAGGTCAAGATTTGGCAGTTTTTCACTCACACCAGCCTATCTTGACATTTTTCACATATGCTGTTATTCTTTCTATGGGTTAATATGTGGTTCTTGGCAATGTGTGAAATAGGACTTTGTCAGCTGCTTGGGAAGGGACTTTCCTGTGCTGCTCTTGTGTCCTGGTTTGCAGTTGAGGTAACTGGCAGCCTGGTACTTGTTTGTGTCCATTTCAAGTTTCAGGATTTGCCCATGCGAATTAATTTTAATTGAATGATCCAGTAAGAACATCAACTCAAAAACTGATTAATCTGATATTTGTCTTTAGTGATGATTTGTTTCTGTTGATGAAACTAAATAACAGAGAAACCACAATGGCTTAAATATTTCTGGCCTGATAAAATAAATAGGATGGTCAAGCTTTCAAAAGGTGCAGGAGGCTTTGTTTCCTTTGTGGAACACCCTGAGAGGTATGCTTTGCTTAATATGGAGACACCATGCTTTATAGATAGAATTGTTCTTTGAGGAATTTTCATTTCGACACTTTATAAGCACTGGTCATCTTAGAAATAAAGATGGATCTATGATTTGGGATTTTTAATTTTTTTTTTTTTAATCTGAAATTTTCAGCTTATTTTAGCATGATAACAACAGAAAAGGAGCTGAAACCAAGCATGGGCCAGTTCTTTTCTTATCTGCAGTCTAGACTTTCCTTCAGAGTTCTGCATTCAGTAATTCTCAGTGATTCTGCTGCCATACTCTCTTGGACATTTAGTATTCTGTCTATATATTTATACAAATTACTTGGAGCCATTGCAGTGGCAGAGAGGGCTCTTGTAAGGATTAGGGCCCATAATAGATATATACTGGGCAGAACGAAATGTCTAGGTATCAATTATACCTTTGTTGAAAATTATCTGGAAAGAATCTAAATCTCATGCTAGTGCTGAAATATGAGTCTTAAGAGTCACCAGAAATGATCCAAGAATAGTTAAACATTGTTGGTTTTGATTTCCTTGTGAGAGTTCAAACTATTTATCCAGAACTGAGAGTTGCTTTACAATAGCCAACTCCTAAACCCTGTTTGATGGGATTTAATAGTCTTTATTAAATAAAGCTTTAATAGAATAAGGAATAGCATTTGCTGTTCTCTAGTCTGGCAGAACTCTGTTCTCTAACTCACTGCAGATGAGAGTTTTGTCTGGTTTCAGGTTAAAAGAGCATTAGGTTTTCTGTCCACAGGCATCCCTAAGACAAAAAAAAAAGGGAGTAGCTTCCTGCCTGAACTGTTATGTTTTCCCTTTAAATTTTTACAAGGCTGCTTTAGCCCATAGCTTTTATTAATTACAGAAGACACTTCTATTTTACTCAACTTGTTGGTTGAGGGGAGATTGTATTTTTCATAATCTACAATATAGTTTGCCTTTCCCCGTGGTGCAGGAAAGGCAGAACAGTGGCCAAGAACACTGAAGGATTTTCGTGCCCCCTAATGGCTCCTCCTCCTCTTCCTCTTTATCCTCTTTCTTCCCTGTTCTGTTGTTCATAATTCTGAAACAAACCCAGGTCCCCTGCCTGCTCGTCTTTGGCGAGTGCTAAGTTTGCATGACCAAATCACAGAAGGCAAATTAATAGTGCAATTAAAAAAGAAAAAAAAAAAAAAATTTTTTATTTTTCCTCTGGCTTTGTAAGGCTGGTTCCCAAGAGCAATAACCTCATTCTGGAATGAGACTTGAAGAGCTGAGAGGAAGGAGGCATGGAGGAGAATTTCACTTTCCTTGGTCCCCATCTAGAAGCCTTAGGACAGAGGTGCCTGAGCAGTAAGCTGTGGAGGGGGGACTTCTGAGCGGTTAGAGATGGTCTGTAAATACTTTTCTATCTGTAGTGAAAGTGGACTCTAAGCTCTTGCAGAAAATAGAGCCAGGGGTACGATTTTATACTTTAGGAAGGTGACTTTCTTCTTCCCTGCCTCCCCTGTCCCTGCTGCAAACTGTTAATCCATTTATTCTATATGTAGTGCATACTGTATTTCACCTCACTTTCTGCTTGTTAATTTTCTTCTTATTCCAGTATTAGAGCTAAAAATGTGATTATTCCACTAGACTCCAGTAAACACCTCTCTTACTCAGATAAAATACTCTGACTGGTAGCCTTATTTTTCTTATCAGGAAGGTTTGAGGGGTATGTTGGCCAGGACACAAATAATTGTGATTTTTTTTTTCAGTGGGTTTTCTGTGCAGGCATTTTTTTCCATGTGGTACACAGCAGTCTCTCTACCACCTGAGAATATGAAGACCTTTCTTTTTGTCTGCTCATTCATAACTGTGTTCATCAAACTGGTCTGTTCTGGCATTAATCTTTCATTACCATTTTGGTATGAATTCAGACAACCAATTTGAATGCAAGGACTCTGCTGTGATGAAGTGAAAAAATTACTTTCTCTGAAGAGCTTTTTTTGCAGCTTGATCCTGATGGCAGTATTATGGGAATGGTGCAAGTCCATGTCTGGTATCTTGTATGTTTGTGTAGGTTTTGAACTTTTCTTCCTGATTAGAAGTGCTGAGACAGCTATAATGAAGGATTTGATTGTTCTTTAATTTGGAATGGAAATGTTGCTACTGGTCTTAATGGATGTAGGAGGTTGGTACAGTGATAAATAAAAGCCCCTTTGCAAAGCAAGGTGTGCTGAATTTTTCAAGCAGGCCTTTAATGTAATGAAACTGAATTCACTCCTTCCTGTGTAGCAATTGTTGTGGCAGCTTGTGTCTGCCAGAGATCTGTCCCTAAACATCACCATGATGCTGGTTGGCGTTGGGCAGAGTAGGTCTTGGGGACACATGAATAAATGGACAATAAATCAACTGAAGTTGACCTACTGTTATTTCAAGGTCCTATTCCAAGATGTACTGAAGACTTACTGCATATCTTTTCTTTCCCTGAGGTATGAGTCAGAAGATTTTAATTAAGGCAGATCCTTTAACTTGCCAACCCCTGTAAAACTGTGTTTTAGAAATTAGTAAAAGCCAATAAAGAAATGTTTGTTCTTCTTCCTACCATTTGGGGTTTTTTTAGGGTTTGTTTTTTTGTTTGTTTGGTTGGTTTTTTGAAGGCATGTTGAAATTGTTACTGTTTTTTGGTTTTTTTTTACTTCTACAGTGTCCAATTTTAAATTATTAAAATTTTTTAAATTCTGGATTAAATGGCACGTGTGTAATTCAGTGTATGCTGTTCAGTATATATATGAACGTGGTCATACTGGATCATTTAGCCCAGTCACTTGTCAAGTTCCTGGTCAATACTGGATGCCTGATAAAGAATATAAGGACAGGGAAGGCAGATGGATAATGATTTTGCTTTAAAATATTCTCTTAGTCCCCAGCAATTTGTGATTTAAGACTTCTAGAGCTAGAGATGTTACTTTGTATTTAATAAACTTTTGTCCATTTTTCTGTCATGGGTTAATCTAGTTGTTCGTGAATTCCTGGAGTCTTTTAGAGGTTGCAGTGCCCAAATGCAAAGTGTTTCATAGTTTAACTACATGTTGCAAGAAGAAATATTTGTTTTGAACCTAACAGCAACTGATTTTATTTGGAGCCCTTTAGGTCTTGTACTGGAAGAGAAAGGAACAATTGTTCCCTATTCACTATTGTTTGCAAGCTGATGTAAAACATAAAGGAGGAGGGAAATAACTGTATCTTGTCTAAACTTTATGGATTTGAAACAGTAAAAAGTATGCAGTGCTTTGTGGTCCCATACAGACTTTTAAAACTTGGCTTTATGGCTGTTTGTCTGGGAGCAAGAAGAGAAAATTAAGAGGAAAGGACATAAAATTTCACATCATAGAAATTCAGTATTGCAATTACTTTAACAGTGGCTTAATTATAACTGAAATTCGTATAAATTTATTGACTTGTGTGTGGTGTTTTTGGTTTTTGTTTTGTTTTAACCTGATCTATATCAGGTTTTCTGTTTGTGCGTAGTGGAGTTGGGGTGGAATTCGGGCAAGATTAACTAAAGAGAAAAAACTGAGCTAGAGTAGATGTAATGAATACTCCTGCCTGCTCCATCTATGTGTTTAATTACTTCACTTTAGGATCACTTAACATTTTTTTAATTTCCTATTCTTTGTAGGATGGGATGAATATGTGCATGTTTATGCAAAATACCTTAACCAGACTTATGAGGTAATATATTTTATTTATTCCTCATTATGAAGTAATTAAAAGGATTGGAATATGTTTTGGCTAACTCTTAACCAGGATGTTTACAGTTAAATACATAGTTTTAAGTATGCAATTTTGAATCCCAGACCTTATATTCACATATGTTAATCAGGTAGGTATTTATGGATTTAAATTAGATGTTGACATTTTGCAACTATTAGACTTTCTAGGGACTGGAAGAAAAAAAAGCCTTATAGCCTTATATGTGGAGGACCAGGAGATACCTAGAGTTAAGGAAATCTAGGCCTTCAAAGTTTCAGAAGCTGACTTCTGTAACTCAGTAGAAATTGGTAGCTCTTAAAAAACAAGCAGGGCCAGCTTATGCAGCCTACGCAGGTAACATTTATTTAATATATTTATTTAATCTTCCCACTTCATAAGGGAAATGTATTCAGTTCTACCATCTGGTACTTCTGAAAAACATTTTTTTTCCTTTCCTTTAGACATAGCTTCCCTTAAGAAATCACATTTCTATTAAACTCATGTGTGGTAGAGTCTGTCTTTTTTCTGCTCAGAGCTCTTTGAAGAGAAATATTATTTGTTTTCAAATAATCTATGTGAGAAAGTGTTATGAGTTAACAGTATTCTGTAAAACTGCCCAGGAGATTGAAGACTTAGTAGAAGTAGTAGTATAAGGAATTCTCAGGAACAGAATTAGAATCCATTTGTATAAGTTGGTTTCCACATCATCAAAACTGATGGGGCAAAACAAAGAGGAGGAAGATGTATGAAGATTAAACCCTCACCTCAGGTGTCTTGACTTAGAGTACTTTGAAGCTGTGGTTCAGGGAGAGCACTGAACTGCTGTACAGGGGCACCTGTTGTAGATGGGATTAATCTCCCTCAGAGGGAGCTGACTGTGATCCTGGAGGGGATGCCTCAAATGGGTCAGTGTGGGTGTAGGGGACTTGGACCTATATCTCTGGCTCCTTATAGACCATAGGAATAATGAGGTTACCGTCTTGCGGTGGGTTCACTTGTGCCATGTATTATATGAAGTGTGTTGCAGATGGGAACTGAACTTGGGCCATAAGAAATTGTTGGTGCTTCTGTTAAAGCAACACCAAACATGTGGTCATGATTGGGAGGCTGACTTCTGAATGTGGTTTCAAAACTGCTTAAAGAGTTAACTGTCTCTTGATAGTACAAGATGAAACAGCTGTATCAGAATGCAAAGTCTGGGACTAACCAGTTGTGTTAATTTCTTAGGGAACTTGGCTTATCCTAAATCAGTGACTGTTCATTAGTATCCATTTCACAACAGCAGTGGGGAAAGAGGTTCTCCCTACATACTCTTTCTTCCCTCTGTCCTTTGAATTACCTTGAACATGATTAAATACCTCGAGCATGATTAAATATATAACACCATCAAAGGTAACAGATTGTTGCTATCCTCAAAGGATGGTTTTGTCATCCAAAAAAAGTTTGATAGTGACAGAGATGGTAGCACTCTGAAGAAACTGCTGAAGGTGTCATGCTCAATCTCATTATTTTTAGATAACCCAGCCATGCAGTTCTTCATGTCCCTTTCTACTGCTTTCTGTAGTGTAGTGGCTCAGTGTAGGGTCGTGTGTCACTGTCCTGTCTCTACTTGCAGATAGTCCTTCTGTGTATCATTTTTATCATGTATTTTTCATAACATTGTAGATGGTCTTCTCTACTTTGATTTGATATACCTGTCTTGTGGTTTCATTTTGGGATTCCATATTAATTATGGAATAATCATTTTAGCATAAGTGGAATTAGTATTGTGCTACTTACCCACAAAGATGTAGTTATTTGAATGAGTTGGAACTGTATATTTTTCTGATCTTTTACTGTAGAGATGGTTTGTTTGAATCCTTTTGTAAATTCTGGAAGACTAAAAGCATGAATTTTGGTTACAAAACTCTCTTGTGTAGATTGCCTTTGATCAGCGTGGCACTAGTCCAAGGAAAAGCTGTTGGAGGAGGAGCAGAACTTACCACGGCATGTGATTTCAGGTAAGATCAACAATTTGAGTAGCTGTCATGTTGGGTCAGTGATTTAATGACTGTACCTATGAAATGTGGGAATCTTGAGGTACCACTTTTATCAGGAGTCAGGTCCCTGAATTACAAGGCATTAGGAACTGGGCTTTGTCAACCAACTTTGGAGGAAAAAAAGTTTGGGTTTCCTGATAGCAGAGAGGAAAGGTTATTTACTCTCAGGTTATACTGTCAGAGTCACTGTATAAAATAAGAGCAGTGAGGAGCTTTAGCAGCCCTGTGTGTCACAGGCCAAGTGAGTCCAACTTCTCGCTCCTGAGTGAGATGTAGAACTGCGAAGTTGCATATCCCCGTATGTCTCGTTATGTGGCTGTTACAAGTAAAAATAAATAAATAAACCTCTCCATTAGCCTAGTATTTCCTGTTCTGTGTTTATTACTTTTAACATAATTTTGTGCTGTACAGTTTTTGAAACAAGAGTTTGAGGTGCAGAGTAAAGTGAATGAGGTTCTGTCCCTGCTTTGTTTTTGTTTGTTGTTTTTTTTTTCCATGCAGGTGCAGGGATTTGCCAGCATGAAACAACTAATAAAAAACAGAGGGCTTTAATTAAAGAGGCTGAATGCAGAACAGGAACTGGATGAAACTGAAATAATAAAATGTCACTTTATTTAAACAGCTGCTAATGTGCAAACAGCCTACAGATGTAACAGGATAAGCACTGCACGCAGCCTCTCTGAAAGTGAGGAGCTTTTAGTGAAGTCTTTATCTAGGAGAAGAAAATGTGCTCTTTAAGATGGCCTTGGTGCCTGAAGTGTGAAAGGAATTATCCATAACAAGCTGAAAGTACTTACATTCAATAGTAATGTAAGTTATTAAGCAAAATCAACTAGAGGATTACACTGCTGCTCCAGGTACCAGGAACAGGCTTTGGCTAGAGGAGATGGTATCTGCATTGTCTGAGCCACTTGGAAGCAATCCTCCTTTGCTTCGAAACTAGATGTGGATGGATCTTTCTTCATGTCTACACAGCACCTGGTGAACTGGAACCCCAGCTCTGGCCTCTGGGTACAGGCTGTGTTATAAATACCTGTAAAGATGCAGAGAGGTGCCGTGTTTGACAGCTGCAGCGCTGACAGGAGAATGCACCTGGGAGACTTAGCAGACCTTTCTGTATCTGTGAGTCCAGTGACAGAAAGTGAATCCTGTTAAGCCTAAATAGGAGTTTAGGAAATGTGAACATAATGAAATGGAAATCTTCTGGCTTTCTAAAATACATACTCTACTTTTACTCCAGCTATGTTGTTTGACACACTGTGTAATTATAGTCATTGTCAAGTAGCTCTTATTTGCATGAATTGGGCAGCTGCAATTCCTCTGATGTGCTGCCATAATTTTCATAATAACTACAGCTGTTGATCCATCTTCCATTACTTTCTAACACACCCATCCAGTGCAGCTAAAGAATAGCAATTCAGGAGCAGCAAATGGGACTTAATTAATAACAACAACAAGATAGAGAAACATACTCTGTGCTGCTATTACTCCTGAATTTGAGAATTTTAATATGGGGGGGACAAAATCCAAGTTTTTTGAGGACTTTTTGTAGATATTAGTGGAACAGGTATTCTTTCCTGAGTCACTAGATGACAAAAGAGGAACTTGAGAACAGAAATTGGAGGTTTGTTTTCATCCTTGAATAAAATGTTTGGACATTTTATTTTATTTTTTAAGAACAGAATGAGTGAGTTGTGGCTACTTTTAATTCTAAATTTTCAAATCCACTTCTGGTTTTCACAGATAACATGTAAACTAACAAAGTGCTTGGTATTGGCCTGAAATATTTTCTTATTTTTATGTCTGCCAGATTGTACTCCATTAACTATACTGATATTGTTGAAGTGATTCACTTGAACCAAAATGGTTTACATACCTTCTCTGAAACTGCTCTGGCAGTATGATGCACATCTCTACTGAAGCAGAGGTGTGGACAAATCCAATTTTAAAATAGCTGAGGTGGTGTAAGATATTACTGATGTATACTTCCAGTGGCAGTTCTTGAGGCTAATTGTCTCTTAATCTGTTTTAAGACAGCTCATGTAAAATTGGATTAGGGAGGGCTTGCATGAACTCTGGCACATTTATTGGTGACATAAGGGCAGTGGTGAAAAGTGAAAGCATCTTAGGTCACTCCACCTTTGATCTGGAGGAAGATGGCTTCTCAAAACATCTTATTTGATCTTAACTGCTTTATGGATTGGTGATAAAAAAAAAAAAAAAAAGTCATTGTCCAGATAAGTGCAAGGTAATTAAAATCCTTTCAGACTTTTTCTGATATGAAAATTGGGAAGCCTTCTGACATTGTAATTATTTATCTCAATTATTTCTGTAAAACTGGATAATGTAAAACCATACATGTATGAAACTTGTTTGGGAAGCTGAGCTTTTTAGTACAGTTTCAAGAAACCTAGACTTTTTTCAGTGTGCCACAGTTGACTGTTCTCTCTGAGGCTCGTGGGTTCCGCTGCCAAATGTCAGTATATTTTGCAGTTCTGCATAACATTGCAACTTTTTCAGTGAAGTGCACAAAATGACAGTGATATTGGATTCAGTGATGGAATTTTGCAAAAAATCAAAATGAAGTACCTGTTTTGAGTTCACTGTATGCAGAGACTTGTGCAAGTGTTTCTTATACTTGCACAATGCTTGAAGTTAAGGAGAACTGTTTTGGCAGGGTTGGGTGAGGAATTTGGACAAGAGTTGTAGTGGGTTGTTGGGCAATAAACTAACAGTTAGATACGGGGCAGAGACAGTTTGGTGATGAATCTGTTTGTGCAGTTATCATGAACACAGTAATCCCTGAGCACAGTAGCTGCACTGTCAACCAATAGCCAGGAAAACTAACTGAATTCTAAGCTGTCATCTTCTATTTCACATTGGGGCCTTCGAGAAATCTTGTTGGGGTGATGTCTCTGTAGGTCTTTTAGCACATCTAGAACTTTGAAAATTTGGTCCTACATCACTTGGCAAATGGATTTCTATTGTACCTTGGTGCTTCTGAAAAATACAGTTTCTTGCCCTCTAACCCCATTTTCCTTTCTAATGCTACTGTGGTTCAAATAGAGGTGTGCCACTGCCATGTGAATCCCATTTAAAAGGTGGTGTCTCCAGGCAGAGGATGGGAGTGTAAAGATGTAAAGCTACCCATTTCTCTTACCACTGACCTCAGAATGCACTCATAGGTAGAGGCAGCAGTATTCTCCTTTTCTTCAGCTGTCATTGATGTTGCACAAATTGCAAAGGGCCAGTTTCATTGCTCTTCTTAGTGCTGCGCAGCATCCTGCTTTGTAAAAAGCACCATTGATTTAAAGAGGTATTTCCTTTCCAAGCAGACTTCTGTCTTGTATTTCTAGGAATGGCAGAATCAAGCTTTTAATGAGGGAAGAAGCTTATGCTAATAATACTGCATTGATATCAAACTGTCCTTGCTGCCTTTTGTGAAATAGGTAGGCATGCTGAGTATTGCTTTTTAAGGTGTTAGGCATGTTCCATAAGATGCCTAATAAGACATATAATGAAATGCACTGTTATTGAATGGCTTTTGTGTGTGTTCTTGTGGTGACTTGTGTTTATTTACTTTTAGAAGCCTGCATTTAGTGCAATAAATGTAATTTCTATGAAATGAAAGGAGCAGAAGGTAATATAACCAGTACATAGATGTAGGCCCACTATGACTAACTTTTCAGTTGATGCTCCTTTAAAAGAAGTGGGGGAGGAAGGCTGTAGAGACATTAGTATTCTACAGTAAGCTTTTCCAAGAATAGATTTCAGAACGTTGGAGCACGGCACACTAGTTTCTTTGGAAATATTTCACTGTATGCAAGGATTTTGGCTTTCAGTTTTATCAGGAGGAGCTTTTAGGTGCACAAGATGCTGCTGTTTGAAATAAGGGTGCCTCAGTACCTAGTAGCTCTTTTCACTGGGCAGAGCATATATGAGTGTACAGGATGGGCTTCACATATTCTTGAGTTCTTGCAAAGTCCAGGCTGACAAAGCACTTTTCATTAGATGTGACTCCATAACGTTGCTGCACATCATCAGGACAAGAATCAGTAGCCAAATCTGAGAGTGGGTTATCACAGCATCAGATGCTTGCTATGTCCCATAAATAATTTTTTTAAACTATGTAAATTTTTCCTCTCTAATATCTATGTGTGTGTGTATATATAAATATAAAATGTAAAACCTCCTTGAAATCAGTTGGCAATTTTAGAATTCCATTGCAGTCATGCATCACTTCACATTTTTAGAGCCCTGGGCAGTTTGTTAGTAGAATTTTCTGGTGAATTTTCAGAGAGATGGATTATTGTTTTAGAAGTTTCACATTGCCTGCCTTTAAGAAGGCTGTTCTTATTTTTGACCTGGCACATTTGACATCTGGTTAAGTAATCACAGCACTGCTAGAAATGGACTTGAGAGCGTATATTTTAGGGCTTGTATTTATGGACTGGTATTGGGTTTTTTTCTTATTACCAGTTTTCATTTGGGTTTGAATTTCAAGTGTTTACAATCTTCCAGGCAGAGGACTTTTTACATAGTCTACAATTCAAATTTACCACTGTTTGATTTTAGTGCAGATGTAAATAACAGCCACACAGCATGAATTTGAGTTGATGTTTTCTTTCTGAGGTTACCTTTTTGTAGGGTTTTACTTAATTCCAAGGTTTGGGGTTGGTTTGGTTGATTAGTTTTTGTTTTGTTTTGTTTTCTTCTTTGGGAGGCTGAACCATCTTATCCTGAGTGAATGAGATTTTTGCTACCAGCATGTGTCTACATTTTTAGATCACTTCAGCCATGCAGTCTTACATCCTTTCTGTTGAACAGTCCTGGCTGCAGCTGATTCTGTGCTGCACAGTAATAATAAAAAGAGATAGCTCAGATAATAGAAAACTTAGGTAAGACAGATTTTAGGGAAGGCAGAGCTGGATATATGCTAGGCTGTCAGTAGGCTGTAGAGA